GAGACAAAAAACCGAGAAACTGAAAAATAAAATCAATATAGGGCGTAATACTGCGGCATTTGTTTTCCATATAACAGCCAAAAGTCAAAAAGGGAGATTAATTTTTGCACCTGTTTCCGCATACAGTAACCCTTTTCCTGACACTGTTCTTTCCTGCAGATTGTTGCAGCGTGAAGTAGGGCTTCGTGCATGTCGGCATTCATAAGTCAGGAAGGCATATCTGCAATCTTGAAGGAACTCATGTCCCAGGAGATTTTCGAATCTGAGTCACCCAGTACTTCAGCCGGAGAGGTTACAATTGAGTTATCCGGAGCTCCGATTGACCTTTTACAGGAATGTTATGGATATTTTGATAGGACACTAGTTAGCATGGTGGCCGCAATGAAAACTTGACTGAAAGAATTCAGATTGTATTAGATAGCAAACTAGACACTGGTTAATAAACTGTGTCCAATCAAAATATCCATAACATTCCTGCAAGAGTTTAATCCCAACTCCGAATAACTCAATTGTAAGGTCCCCGGTTGAAGCACTCGGTGACTCATGTTCGAATATCTTATGGAATGTGAATTCTCTCAAGACTGTAGATACGCCTTTCTGACTGATGAATGCCGACAAGCACAAAACCCTGGTCCGAGGCTTTCTACCGATTCCCTTCAATCACCTTACAAGTAGTCTTGTATAGAAATACATTGCTTGACTGTAAACAAAAGGTGGTAGATTTACGAGGAGTACAAACTCCATAGCACTTTTACATAGACCTATGCATCATTTTGGGAAATGCATGTAAAGCTGATTTTGATCGCAAGCATCACTCTAATCTATGGTTATCACTTTTAGTCAAGAATACAAAGAAGGCAGTTAGTTTTTTAGTTGTTGAAATTATCAATGTATTGTGTTTAATGCATTGTCGAAAGAATTTCAAATACGAAACCTACAATTTGCAAACAGTTGTATGTGCATAGAATCTGATCTCATACAATATTTGCCACTTCTTGTAAAAATTGAAGGAGAATTTAATGATAAGATTCTGTGACAGTAAACTCAAAGAGTTTAACACAGAAGTTGTTTACTTTCTCAGGAAATCTTAAATATCGCAAACAAAATTGGTTAGATAAAATTTCCGTTTAAGAGCAACACAACAGAAATTTAAAACAGTAGGCCATATGAAACTTGATATTAAAAATATTTACATTCATATGACTCACTGGTTTATTGAGTGTACATAATAAAGTTGAGTTTATTTACGTGATGCAGCGTGTAACACACTGTTTTCACCAACCCACCAACTTTATGTTTACTTCTTAAGAGATTTTGAGTAAAAAAAAGAGTCTTTCGCGTCTCATTCAGGCATTTTCAAGTTTAAAGTAAATAAATTGAAAATTCATAGATGTTTTTGTCGAGTACTTATAACTCTTGCGAAAGTGTGTATTTCGAACTAATATCAACCCTCTGGTTATAATTACTGTGCACTACTCGTCACCAATGAATATTTTAATTTCTACTCAGAGATGTATAGTTGGATTTGGCTGAATGTCGAGTGATCAGCACAGAGAAGCTTTTGTAGTGAAAAAGGGAGTAAAACAAAGCTGCCCATTTTTCACTACTGATATTTCTGATCGCGGTGTACAGGATTATGAAGAAAAAGACTTTCCACAGGGAGCAAGTAAATAGAAATACGCTGGACTCATAAGAAGGCTGTATAGGATTTGGACTCCACGGATAACTTAATTCTAATAATAATAATAATATTAACAGCTTTATTCCAAACAGTATTTGTGGTACAGTTATGGAATTTTCAGCTTGCATTACAGTATATGCCACACAAACTTGAAGACTTATAAGTGAAAACCAACAAGCTGACAGAAGAAGCAGCCAGCGAATACAGGAATTCAAGTGAGCAGGGCGAAGCTGGAGGTGATGAAGATAACCAACCAACAGCAACTAAAACAACAACAACAACCAATACCAGTAACTATCAACGGAAGAAATTTGAAAGAGGTCAATCTCCCGACTTCAATTATCTGACCACGCAACATCGTTTAAACAACAGCCACACCCTATGGATGGGGATGTCAAAGCCGGTCCGAATCAGAAAGACGAAACAGATCTTCACCACTCTGAAATCAGTTTGTAAATCTTCTGCATGAAGAGTAAGAGTCGAATTTTCAACACCAGTGTGAAGTTGATTAGAGCTTATGCATGGTTGAGAGAGTCGGTGTTTCACCAAAAGCATTTGGAACAGGCTAATGCAAACATTTATCAGCAACTGCCTTTTCTGACCCCATATTGAATATTAGATGGCAGGTCAGGAAGATATGGCAACTAGAAAACCTGAGAACTAATCAATGAAGAACCCACAACTCAAGAAATATATGGGAGAAAGTGAAGGGGGATTGGAGACATTTTCAAAAGACTTGGGCAGTCGTCAAGCCATTTAAGGGGACTGCAGGGAAGTAGACAAAGTGGAAGTGTACTTCTGAAGCCATATTTTCCGATTGGAACCCAAGGAAATGTAAATAATAGATTTAGTTGTCTTTATATGATGAAACTGTGATTATCTAGGCTTCTCATGAAATTCTGGGCAAAATATGTTGCAGAAAGAACTAATAATTTTCAACTTTGATACAAGGCGGTTAATTAGTTAGACATCTAAAACTCGGTGAACAGATGTATTTGGTATGAAATGATAGAAACGCCTCTATATATTCAGGAAAAACATGCTGGTGAGCATATATATAGTCATAGAGAACCACATAAATTAATCTGAGAAGTCATGGAAATACAATTTATACAACTTTGACCACGGACTGACATCAGTTAGAGAACCATTGAAAACCAGCTTGGAGTACTGGAAAGCTGTTTCATCCTAGTTTGGGAATCATCGCCACTACTCATCCACCAATAGGAGTTTCGAACTCAGGACCTTCTGGTTACAAGGCGAACTAGCTGGTATACCATTTAGCCACTGGGACCCGGTTCAATGGTGAGTCCATCAATTCTAACTTCTACCAATTCATGATTAAGCACGATCAGAAACGGTTCTTTAACTCATATCAATCCATGGTCAGAGACGTTTAAAAAAATTCATTCCTTACAAACCAACTCTTGAGAAGTGTCATTGTCTAGAAATCAATAAAGTATCGATGATATTTTACTTTATTCTATTAGCAGACTCAGCTGTGTAGTTTGCAGAACCATGACCTCATAGCTATTCCATAGCATTTTGTAGAATAAATCAACTTAATAGGTCAGATTAGTAGTTTAGAGGCATTCGCATTATTGAAACATAGAAATTTAGCTTAGTGTAGAATGATATCGACTTCGCGATGCTGAATAGCATGGAAGAAAAGCAAGCATTAGCAATGCGTGCACTGGTGCACAATCACACAATAGAGTGGACTAGAGGTACAGTTTTAAAAAGCAATATAGTAGGTGAACCGGGTGGTGGTGTGGAATTGATCACTGACTCTTTATTCATGGAGTCTACATCTAACACGGGCAACAGAGGAGATGGAACGGTGATAACGGAGATGTGAAAAATAGCACTACTGGTGAAAATCAAAGAACAAAATATAATCGCATTACATAAAAAATGTTTGACAATTATGTAAGCGCCTTGATATGATTATGAATAGTAATACATTGTAATCAAAATGTCATCAGCAAATAACGCTGTACCGTTGTCTACATTTTTCCAGATAAAATGTGCACATGATGGATGGGGTTATACTCTACCATAGTTTTCAGATTCTATTTACATAACATTTGAATTACGTGCAGTTTACCAGACAACCTATGTATCACTATGTAAAAATTTTTTTTATCATCGAGCAAATTTACATGACCTTCTGAATTTGTCTATATCGTTTATATACTATTTAGAATATTTATTTTATTTATTTTTATTTTTGATTAACAGCTTGATTCCACACTGTATTTTTGGTGCAAGTATGGAATTTTCAGCAAGGATATCGGCAGCTCAAATTTCGCAGGCCTACCATAGATATCAGGTGTGCGTCAGCAGGGGATTGAACCGCTGACCATGTTCATGGTCGGCGAGAGTCCTAACCACTGTGCCACCGATGCACATAAAATAACAATAGTGAATAAGCATCTGTCAATTATGAAGTAGTTTTCCCCTTACAAATCTCAAAGCTATAGTAGTTGTAGTTTGAAGCCACAAGTAATGATGACATTATCCTAACATTTGACGTCTGTTTCTGATGTAATATGCCTGCTAGGCTTAGTGACTATATGTTAAAGCGTACATGGTACAGCTTCGTAGAATCTATGAAACAGGAATATTAATGTTTCAGTTAGCTACAAAAAATTACTCGCTTCATTTACAAATAAAACTAACACTTAAGCTGTGGTCATCTGCTTCCGGGCAGATGTGATGCCGTATTTACTTGTATGATCAGTTAATCAAAGAAGTGACAGGCGATATCTTGCAGCCAAAGTACTGTTATACGTCTTCACGATACGATACATATATTGCACTTGGATATAAAATTTTAACACAAAGTGAGTCGGTGGCACAGCGACAGAATATCCGTCAACCACGCATGTGGTTCGGGGCCCAATCCCCGGCCACGAACGCACTCCCTTACTTCGTTAAGCCAGTAATACGAATGGTGAAGAGGGGAGGTTGGGCATGAGACTGACAACCCTATCCCGTAAAAAGTAGACACCACAACTACATTCCAAAAGGAACTTAATCGAATAAAGTAACCTGTAGTGAATAACTAATGCAAAGTCTTTTTAGCAAATCAATTACAGTGGACAGCTGATCACATTGATAAGGAAATCTGATCAGTACAAAGTTTACTATGCTACATACATGACATGTGTTGCAGAAGTGAGTGAATCTGTCGAAAACAGAATAGAACGTTCTTAAAATTAAAAAAAAACAATTTTTGTTGTTGTCATTGTTGTTGTTACTCGTAAGAGTCACATTCACATAATTGCATCAATAGATTAAGCGAAGCAAAACTTACTCTTTTGGGGGTGGAGGTTGTAAACCAAGTGCACAAATATATTCTTGTAGTGTGACAACATTATCACCACTCAGATCAAATAGCCGTAAAAACTCCTTTTCAACAGAACAAAAGAAAAAACAAGCAGAAGAAAAGAAGATTTTAGTTTTTAGACGTAGTTGTCATGTGATGAATTTAGGCAGCAGCAGAAATGAATAATTCGTAAACTGGTTACAAGAAAACTGAAAACTGAAGATTAATGTCATACAATGACTAATTGACAGGTACTCTTTGATAATACCATGTTTCTATTCTCCTGTGAAGTACAGCGCTGTGTTGACGTTGGAAATCCATTGCATTGTAGTTTTCTTGTTTTTCTGAAGGCGCAAAGAGTATTCTTTTCAAAAACGTTATCAGGTTCTACAGATATATATATATATCTATAAAAATTGATGAATTATTCTTATTGACAACATTAACAATGAAATAAAAATTCAAGGAGTTAGATGCAAATAGGATGGGCATGTGGCAATCTCCATGAATGAAACAATTAATTAAATACCAGTTTTCCAAAGTAAATGATCACGAATAATAGCCAGTAATACAGTGATGTTCAAACTAAATTCTATTCACATTGATTACAAATTTTACACCGATAGTGGGAAAGAAGATTACTTGCGTTTGTCATTATGAATTACAAGGTATAAGGAAAAGAGAAACAAAACGGTTTATTTATGAAGGTGAAATGATAAGCCATGGGGAACAGAAATCAAGATAAGAATGAGGGGTTTTCACGGCAAAAACAGGCAACGTAATAATATAATTATGAAATTCTAGATTCAAGAGCAGACCAAGATAGTAAGAGTAGACTGATATATTTCTTCTGTGCTTAAAGTGATCAGCGACAGCCTCTGAATATTGAAGTTTTCATTACGACTAGGCTTTCGCCAAATATTTGCCAGAAAATAGAACCATTGAGCAAAGAATATTCTTAACGATAATTCCCTCTTCTTGCTTTACAATTTTATATATACATATGTGCATACATAAAGATTACGCTGTAATAATCGTCGTTACCATTATTGGCATTTTTAAATAATATCCATTTCAGGATTTCATCATGAGCTGACATTAGTTAGAGAACCATTAGAAAACCTGGGAGTACTGGACAGCCGTTTCGTCCTAGTTTGAGATTCTTCAGCAGTACGCACCCACCGGGATTCGAACCCAGGACCTTCCGGTCAGTTCAAGAAAGGTGCATAAATTGTAATAAGCATAAAAATGTAATAGCAAATAGAATATCAAATAAAATAGAGGAAATTTTCACAACAAAATGAGGATTATTAGAATCTTGATGGCCAAGGTAAAGAAAGTGTCTCAACCAAGTTCTTTTGGATAAATAAATTAGGCTTCTAAATGTGGATCCCAATGGTCTTCCCAATATGCAACAGATGAACCCTTAAGGTAAGATTAGTTGACATAAGGCGAATGACTTTGAAAACATTGTTTACATCAATTTTGTGCTCTGTATCCACGAGATGAGATAGTATAGAACTATGAGTGGATTTTGTTTGTCCCTTACTCAACCACTCACTATGCAGGATGGTGTTCGGAAGTCCGACGATAAGCACGCCGAATTGTAGGGCCTATGCAACTGGGTGGCTCCACAGGAGCAGTCAAAATGGGAGATGCACACAGAAGAGGCGAAATTAGGTAGTTTTTCCTCTACTCCTGAACGCAAAATCAGGGTGGTTTTGGAGACACAGCGTAATTCAGCAGCAAGGAATGCTCTTTTTACCGCATTTCTAAGGCGCTGCTTCAATATTTCGCTGATATTATCCGTGAGGAAATGAAGTTGTAGGAAAAAGGCCTTTTTAAGAACTGCTGGTACCTTGAGCTGTTTTGATTTTAGATTCATATTCTTATCAATACACTTTTCTGGATAACCATTTATTCTGTGAACCAAGCACTTTATCAGACTGGGTTTGTATTTCAAAGGCAAGAAGCTGAAAAAAATGAGTGTACTGACCCGTTAATGTAGTTTTTCTATATACACTTCTTCTTATTGTGTCATCCTCATTTCTGGTCAAAGGACGTCTAGAAATGAAATACTAGAGTCTTTTTTTTTCTTAATAGTAAAATTTATTGCAGAATGAACATCTTTAAATTTATCCAGGATTGGCCTTTGCTTCCTTCTCATTTTTCATAATCAAAAATGTATCATCCATGTACTGACAATAGAATTCAAGTCCATTAAGAACATCCTTCAAAGGCCAATCCTGGATAAATTTAAAGATGTTCATTCTGCAATAAATTTTACTATTAAGAAAAAAAAAGACTCTAGTATTTCATTTCTAGACGTCCTTTGACCAGAAATGAGGATGACACAATAAGAAGAAGTGTATATAGAAAAACTACATTAACGGGTCAGTACACTCATTTTTTTCAGCTTCTTGCCTTTGAAATACAAACCCAGTCTGATAAAGTGCTTGGTTCACAGAATAAATGGTTATCCAGAAAAGTGTATTGATAAGAATATGAATCTAAAATCAAAACAGCTCAAGGTACCAGCAGTTCTTAAAAAGGCCTTTTTCCTACAACTTCATTTCCTCACGGATAATATCAGCGAAATATTGAAGCAGCGCCTTAGAAATGCGGTAAAAAGAGCATTCCTTGCTGCTGAATTACGCTGTGTCTCCAAAACCACCCTGGCTGTCCAGTACTCCCAGGTTTTCTAATGGTTCTCTAACTAATGTCAGCTCATGATGAAATCCTGAAATGGATATTATTTAAAAATGCCAATAATGGTAACGACGATTATTACAGCGTAATCTTTGGTGATGTGATAACTTTTACAAAGTTTGACCTAAAAGTCGGCTTCACGTTTTAGCATTTTGTAGATAAAAGTATGTAGTGGATATTATATAACTGGAGGAATTCAGCGGGAGACCTCGGATCAGATTTTTGTGCCAGTTGGCAAACACCGGCAAGTCGTATATGCACACTTGTAGGAACTCAGTACCGTTCTGACACCCGAACACAAGTCAACTAATGATGCAGTCGGAGAATTTACAAACGAGTTATTAGGGCTAGCGACTGACATTCTCTATTGAATAATTTAACGAGTGCAAACTCACACAAAGACTGGGTCCAAGGTATACTACCGACAGCCTTCAACCATCTGCTATGAACAATTTCAAATTTATAGTGAATGGAAATCCTAGAAGGTTTAATGACAGAGAGATCAAACAAGAAACCGTCCTCAACCAAATCACAATGGCAAGTAAGACACTGTTCTTGAGTTTGATGTCAAAGGTGACACTGTTGATGAAGTCATTAAAATTCATTTATCTAAATGTATTAAACGCTGCTTCTATGCAGCTGACTTACATTTAGTATTCACAGGCCGAAATACGATTCGACAATGCACTAGGAATAAGCTCACACTTATGTCCACCTCCATGTGCATATACTCATTCACATGCTGGTGTGGTGCCGATTACATGGAATGATGTAATCGTATTCTCCGTAAACGGGGGGCTGGACACCACCCGGTTTGGTTAATGAAAGGTGAGCATAGTACAACAAAGTCTTCAGTTTGTGAACACAATCTGGAGTCATGTCATTCGGCCAAAAGTTTGCAAATGAAATCGTTGAAAAGAGATATTCATTCGCTGGACGAAAATTGTGATTTTCCTTATGAACTAATGGGTATATTTCGCGATTTCGACTGACTCAAGCAAGTCAGCCATGCGGCAACCACGCTAGGTGGCCTGCCATAACACTAAATTGAGAATTGATATAAGAATAAAACTTGTGCACTATGGTAGAGTGTAATTATATTATGGATAAATTTTGTTTTGATAAAGTCTCACAGTGTTATACAGTAATGTTTACTGATGACCACGTTTCGAGCACAATTTATTACTGCTCATAATCATATCAAGGTAATCACACGACTTCCTAAATTCATTCATATAGTTCCATTGTTTTTCACTTGATTTCAACTTGATTTGATTGGTAATAGTATTTTCCATATTTCAGGTATGAGTGACGAGTCATTCCTATTGAATGTGTTGTGTTGGGTGTAGACTCGATGAACCGGTCAGGATTCAGTAATCAACCTCTCTCTCCACCTACCTAGATTACTGTTTAGAATTTTAACCCTCTCCCACCCTATGTGTGGTTGTGTGTTAATGCATGCAGTGCAATGTAGTGCTGAGCTTTTTTCTAAATTACTTATCTTCTCGGGGTCAACCATTCTTACCTTAGCTAAATTCTTATGCTCTGACAATCTGACTACCCCTGACCTACTAGTTTGACCTATGTAGTTGACCTCACAGTCATTGCATGGTATTTTGTAAATAATATTATTTTGTCTAATTGGGTCAACCGACAGGGTCATTTAACCTAAACTCAATAGATAAGACTACAGCAGAAGAGGTTCGAGCACAATGTGCATTAACCCTAAAAAATCAAAAGAAAACAAAATCAAACTTAACAAAATCGGAAAGGGAAGCTTTAATTAGTCTTAAACAGGATAAAAACATTGTCATCGCAAAAGCTGACAAAGGAAACGCCACCGTAGTTTTTAATAAATCTGACTACATCAAAAAAGTTACTGAACATATTCAAACGGGTCCATATGAGGAAATTAAGAAGCCTGTAGATACAATAATGAATAAGGTTAAGAAATCTACAGCGGAACTAATACGCAGAATGAAGCCATCACTGGGTGAGTCTAAATGGTTTAATTTAATGCCTAAAACTAATAATGCTAGTAGAATATATGGTACTATAAAAATACATAAGCCAGGTTACCCCATAAGACCAATAGTAGATTTTAGAAATACCCCCACGTATGAATTATCAAAACACTTAGCTCTAATACTATGCCCCATTAGAAATCGTTCAAACTCTAGATTAACTAATTCATATGAGATGAAAAATAAAATAAATGACATTCAACTAGCGAATGATGAAACAATGGTTAGTTTTGATATAACTAGTCTTTATACTAATATACCAGTTAATATGGCCTTAGAAGCAGTTAAAAAAGAATTAACTGCGGATCCGGAACTCAGTCATAGGACAAAGCTGTCCATTGAAGAAATTATTTTAGGGATTCAGTTATGCCTCACATCTACTATCTTTAAGTTCCAAGGCAAAATATATAGACAAACAGAAGGTGTAGCAATGGGATCACCAATATCCCCTATCGTAGCAGACATATTTATGGACAGCTGGGAAAATAGTGCCCTCAATACATTTAACCCTACTCCGAAAATATGGTGGAGATATGTGGATGACACTTTCACAGTGTTAAAAACAGAACACATCTCTAGCTTCTTGACACATATAAACTCACAAGTTGAGGGAATAAAATTCACATTTGAATCAGAAAATGAACAAGGAGAATTAGCTATGTTAGATTGTAAGATAAAAAGAATAGAAGAAGGCAAACTACACACTAGTGTTTATAGAAAACCAACGCATTCTAATAGATATTTAGACTTTAATTCGTCTCATCCTTTAACTGTTAAGGCAGGCTTAGTTAAATGTTTAACAAACCGAGCAGTGGCACTAAGTAGCACAAAAAAAGATCTAAATGATGAATTAAAACAGATAGAAGAAGCGTTGGTGTTGAATAACTATCCTATAAAATTCATTAGGAAGATCATTAAAGGCCAAAAACAAAATAAAAATAATTGTGAAACTAGTAATAATAACATAAATAAGAAAGAATATAAGTCATCCACAGTTATACCATATAAAGAGGGGACATCTGAGACACTACGTAGGATTCTGAATAAAATAGGAATTAGGGTGGCATTTAAACCTACAAACTCACTCAGGGACAAGCTCTGTAGGTTAAAGGACCCAGTTGACCCAATTAGACAAAATAATATTATTTACAAAATACCATGCAATGACTGTGAGGTCAACTACATAGGTCAAACTAGTAGGTCAGGGGTAGTCAGATTGTCAGAGCATAAGAATTTAGCTAAGGTAAGAATGGTTGACCCCGAGAAGATAAGTAATTTAGAAAAAAGCTCAGCACTACATTGCACTGCATGCATTAACACACAACCACACATAGGGTGGGAGAGGGTTAAAATTCTAAAAAGTAATCTAGGTAGGTGGAGAGAGAGGTTGATTACTGAATCCTGACGGTTCATCGAGTCTACACCCAACACAACACATTCAATAGGAATGACTCGTCACTCATACCTGAAATATGGAAAATACTATTACCAATCAAATCAAGTTGAAATCAAGTGAAAAACAATGGAACTATATAAATGAATTTAGGAAGTCGTGTGATTACCTTGATATGATTATGAGCAGTAATAAATTGTGCTCGAAACGTGGTCATCAGTAAACATTACTGTATAACACTGTGAGACTTTATCAAAACAAAATTTATCCATAATATAATTACACTCTACCATAGTGCACAAGTTTTATTCTTATATCAGTTCTCAATTTAGTGTTATGGCAGGCCACCTAGCGTGGTTGCCGCATGGCTGACTTGCTTGAGTCAGTCGAAATCGCGAAATATACCCATTAGTTCATAAGGAAAATCACAATTTTCGTCCAGCGAATGAATATCTCTTTTCAACGATTTCATTTGCAAACTTTTGGCCGAATGACATGACTCCAGATTGTGTTCACAAACTGAAGACTTTGTTGTACTATGCTCACCTTTCATTAACCAAACCGGGTGGTGTCCAGCCCCCTGTTTACGGAGAATACGATTACATCATTCCATGTAATCGGCACCACACCAGCATGTGAATGAGTATATGCACATGGAGGTGGACATAAGTGTGAGCTTATTCCTAGTGCATTGTCGAATCGTATTTCGGCCTGTGAATACTAAATGTAAGTCAGCTGCATAGAAGCAGCGTTTAATACATTTAGATAAATGAATTTTAATGACTTCATCAACAGTGTCACCTTTGACATCAAACTCAAGAACAGTGTCTTACTTGCCATTGTGATTTGGTTGAGGACGGTTTCTTGTTTGATCTCTCTGTCAGTAAACCTTCTAGGATATGCATCATTCACCAGCCAAAATATGATTGGATTATTCGTCAGGATCAAAAATAACATCGGGATTTTTCACTCCAGTGTGAATTCAGTGGTACCTACCTTACAGATCATAGACCTGGCGCGTCATAAAGAGCATGTCAAACAAACCGCTGACCTCCATTAACAGTTGTCTTCACTGAATACTCAAGATCAGATGTCCAGAAAGGATCAGCAATAGGGACCTATGGTAATGAGCGAACCAACAGAGCAGGAACCAATTATGAAACAAATAGGCAGGAAGAAATGGAGATGGATTGGCCATACTCTGAGGAAACCATCAAGTGACATCACACGATAGATCACTGCTCGAGTGAAAACCGAAAGAGAAGTGGTGAGTTGGTCGTCTAAGCATGACTTGGAGGTGGTCATGTGAAGAGGAGATGCAAGCATGTGGGCAGACTTGAAGCCAGGTGAAAACTCTAGCAGAAAACTGAACGCAATGGAAATGCGCAGCTGAAGTCCTATGTTCCTCTAGGAATTAAAGGAAATAATAATAATTCGTTGAGCATAAACTACCACTTATATCCACCTCTATGTGCTCGTGTTGAGCTGATTACACTGAACATTGTAAGCGTATTCTCCATAAATGGGTGGCTGAACACCACCGGCTTCGGTTAATGAAAGGTGAGCAAAGGACGAGAGAGTCTTCAATTTGTGAACATATTCCGGAGTCAAGTCATTCAGCCCCAAGTGATTTATCCTTTAAAGTTATTTGGCGAACTGAATCCGAACACTTCGAAAGCTTACGTTTTCTCCATTTATGCATAACCGAATCTCCAGCTATACATGGACAGAAACCTGAATTATGTGTTCAAAAACGTTTTGTCAAGCTTCTTTCTCTACCTCGGTCATAATTATGATATAGTTCAGTCTACATCAAATGAAGGACTGGACACATTAAACTAGTTACTAGCTGGTTTCCATTCAGAAGTTTGTTCTTGTGAAGAGTGCATCAGAAGTTTCATAAAAAAGTAATGTGACCTATACTAAAGATATTTTACAAGAATACAATCAAGATTTGGTTAATGAATGTTAACTACAGAGTAAAGTATTTCTTAAAGTGTTCGCAACAGTTTGTTGAATTTAGAGATTCAGTGTTTAAAGTCGGATGATGAATTTACGGACAGCCTCGTGAGGCACAGGGTCTTTGAAACAACAGGCTATCTTTGTTTATTCGAATGATGAAATATTAGTGTTTTCTCTTAAAATAAAACCACAAATAACCCTAACAGTACTTTTAAATGAGGACAGAAATGTGAATATTTTTCACTTATTGACACTATAACATGCGAAACTTAAACAGATAACAAACGTTAATAATTTTCAAGGTTAGAAAAGATTCCGCTGGATAGCACGCAGTCATGATAAGATAATAACAGTTATAATACCCCCAAATATGAAAATGGAACATACTAGTGAAGGTAAATCAGTTAAGATCAAATTAAATCACGTTTAAGGGTTTCGAAGCCCTGATGTCTCTTCACTCTTCAAATAGCATAGCGACTTTTTCATCACTCTATAGATACTGATTTTGATCTGACGAACTTGTTAACAATCGGACGAAAAAGGTCACCTAATATCAAGTCTATTGTGATGCCTTGACAAGTGCTGGAGTGGTTTCTATTTACAGAGTTTCTCTATTTATAACGATTCAGCCACCCTTGTGATTGTTTTCACAAAGAATTAGGTGACTAACTACACTTTTGGAGTAAATTAGGTATGTATCAACATGGGACTAGGCCCAAGCACTGAACACAAATCAAAACTGTACGCTTTCCTAGATTACTGTTTCCTGGAATCATTGATTATCAGAAAATATTTTATGCTTGCGCATGTGTTGTTGTGGGTCTGTTATAACGAAAAAAAAACAGACAACTTACATTGACTTTCTTCTCTGGCAAACCAGAACGTTTAACACACATGCGAATTTCTTCAGCTGTTAAATAACCGTCACCATTTTTATCCATTTGATGAAATTTTTGAATCAATGCTCTCCTGTCCATTTGATTTTGTCAGAGTTTGGTTTCAAATAAATAATCGTAGATAGCTTTTGTTCTTCTAAAAGTAGTTGTACAATTTTCTAGACAATAATCATCACTTGTCTTCTTCAGGTGAAAATGAAAGCACTTTTAATGCATCACTTCAGATATTTTTAGGAGTACAATGTAGGTAGTTGTAAGCATCCAATCAAACACACACTCACTTCGGCTGATTGTTTGTGCTCAGTGTATTATTGAAAATTACAAAGATTTACATTATCATGGAGGAATGTGAAGGTGTGTTTGTCACACATACACACACACACATTACACATTATGCATCAACATAAATGTTAACCAATGGACTGTGATTTCATTCAGACTGGAATTCATAGATTACAAATTAGCAAATGTAGGTAACGTGTCGATGACGTAATAGATAAACTGATGATGTGTATTGTTCATCGTCATGATTAATTGAACGTCGCTGTTTTTTGTTTGATCCTTGCTTTCCGCAGACATATGAGAGATGCGTCAGGGAAATAACTAGATGCTTATCTGTTTATTAAAGAGTTCCATGTGATATGATGACGAAAACATCTAGATGTGTAAATCTATGCACTATATATATTGTGATGATTGAGGACCACATGAGACATACTGAATAATTTGTTCAAATTTATTAAAAACTGCACACTCAGCACAGCCGATTAATCAAAAAGAAAAACATGTGGAGTTTGACGTCTAAGTTTAATCAGACAGCAAAATCGATTATGGTTTCGGGAGATAACAATCGCACTTTTGTGCAATGCAGTAATGCAGTGTGGCTGTTAACGCTTTATACTGATCACACGCTAAGATGAGTGTTTTGTTGTGTGATGAAGAGAGTGTTCGCTGAGTAGGTGTTAACATACATCGTAATGCATATCTTTAAATTAAAAAAATACTCCATCTACAGTTTTCATAAAAGTAGCACGTTATTTGGTTCAAATAACCTTGAAAAATTTCATCATCATGAGGATCATCATTTAGTTTGTTTTCTCAGAAGATGACAGTTTGAATATTTGTTTCACTAAATATTTAAATTGTTTTAGAAACTGACTGAAATGAGTGCCTTATACTACTGACTGATTGATTTCAGTAGTTGGATACCACACAAATATACCAGTAGTGCTCGCTAGCCAGGCCATGGAAGGGATCTAAACGTAATGACTTTGGCAGGTTACTCTTTGCTTTGTAGACTACTCTGAAGAAGTCATTTAATGGGATGGACTGGCCAGTATTGACAAGCTGTCAGACTATCGCACTGTTTATCAGAGGTCCTAATGACTTTCTGCAACCATGTGGGGTGTCGTTCTTGAACCCTCTTAGATGATGTAGACATCGAAAGACGTATATACCTGACTCCACAGTAACAGTTGAACTGATGTATGCACAGAGAAGTGGTCAGATACGAGATATTGACAACTGTTTTTATGAACTGGCTAACATTAACAGCTATGCTTGCTGACAACTCATCACTTTTGTTATTATCCTCTTTTGTAGAAAATAGATTGTATATAAATATGGTTGTACAGCTGGAGCGGGAAGACCCTCTCCGGTCAGCCTCTTGTCTTGTTTTTAATAATGTTCAGATGGGACGTTTTCATGAATTATTAGTAAGTATTTCCGAATTTATTTTGAAGGTGCTAGTTGATTGAGATATGATGGAGAAGATCTGTAATGCAGGTGGATGGTTTTGATGTAGTTGTGTTCTTTGACCTTGATGGTTTAGTTGGGAAGTTTTCATTGCCCACTACTAGGCAACATCTTCAGCTCATACTTCAATGTGAAGTGAGCTTTCAGATTTCTTCATGAGTTTATTAATCACCAATCCTGGCGACCGTGAACGTGACTGGTTGATTTTGTGTGTTTTCACATCCTCTAGGCTATTTGTATTGGAACTGATTGTTTCATATTAGTTTGATTATTAAATGTATCACACAGTGAAACAGTATTGTATACTGGATGACGTTTCGAACACAATTTATTGTTCATAATCATATCAATTTTTGTCACACGACTTCGAGATTTGATTTTTATAGTTTTCTCTGTCTTCTCCTATTTGTTGTATGGGCAGTAGAATTTTCCATATATCTGGGACAGGTGTTGAATCATTCCTATTACATGTATTTGCAGTTGATTCGATAAACAAAGCTTCTGTTATCAATCTCTCCCTATACCCTGTGACATTAGATTTTAAAACTGTCATCCTATCCCATCCTATTGTATGGTTGTGTGTAACTGCATGTAGTGCTATAGCTGAACTACTCTCTAGATTTCTTATCTTATTCGGGTCAACCAATCTAGATTTAGCTAGGTTTTTATGTTCGGCTAGTCTGACTGCCCCTGTTCTACTAGTTTGACCTATGTATTTGACCTCACAATCATTGCAGGGTATTAGATAAACTAAATTGTTTTGTTTTAATGGCTCTACAGGATCCTTTAATCGACAAAGCTTGTTTCTAATTGAGTTTGTGGGTTTGAATGCCACTTTTATTCCTGCCTTGTTAAGAATTCTGCGTAAGGCTTCCGAGGTTCCTTCTTTGTATGGAATTATTGTTGATGATTTACATTCCTTATTGTTGGTGTCGTTATTAATATTATTATTACTATTATTATTACCATTATTATTATTGTTATCATTATTATTATCACTATCTCTGTTATCATTATTTATTTTATTTTTACATTTACTTACATATTTCTTGACTAATTTATCCGGGTAATTATTAAGTTTCAAGGCTTCTTTTATGTGTGTCACTTCCTGTCTCAGATTTTCCTTGGTACTACTTAGTTTTTGTGCTCTGTCATTTAAACATTTCACTAATCCTATTTTTACTGACATAGGATGGGATGATCGGAAATCCAAATATCTGTTATTTGGATGTCAGTAAAAATAGGATTAGTGAAATGTTTAAATGACAGAGCACAAAAACTAAGTAGTACCAAGGAAAATCTAAGACAGGAAGTGACACACATAAAAGAAGCCTTGAAACTTAATAATTACCCGGATAAATTAGTCAAGAAATATGTAAGTAAATGTAAAAATAAAATAAATAATGATAACAGAGATAGTGATAATAATAATGATAACAATAATAATAATGGTAATAATAATAGTAATAATAATATTAATAACGACACCAACAATAAGGAATGTAAATCATCAACAATAATTCCATACAAAGAAGGAACCTCGGAAGCCTTACGCAGAATTCTTAACAAGGCAGGAATAAAAGTGGCATTCAAACCCACAAACTCAATTAGAAACAAGCTTTGTCGGTTAAAGGATCCTGTAGAGCCATTAAAACAAAACAATTTAGTTTATCTAATACCCTGCAATGATTGTGAGGTCAAATACATAGGTCAAACTAGTAGAACAGGGGCAGTCAGACTAGCCGAACATAAAAACCTAGCTAAATCTAGATTGGTTGACCCGAATAAGATAAGAAATCTAGAGAGTAGTTCAGCTATAGCACTACATGCAGTTACACACAACCATACAATAGGATGGGATAGGATGACAGTTTTAAAATCTAATGTCACAGGGTATAGGGAGAGATTGATAACAGAAGCTTTGTTTATCGAATCAACTGCAAATACATGTAATAGGAATGATTCAACACCTGTCCCAGATATATGGAAAATTCTACTGCCCATACAACAAATAGGAGAAGACAGAGAAAACTATAAAAATCAAATCTCGAAGTCGTGTGACAAAAATTGATATGATTATGAACAATAAATTGTGTTCGAAACGTCATCCAGTATACAATACTGTTTCTTTGTGTGATACATTTAATAATCAAACTAATATGGAATTACTTAATACCACAGTGCTCAAGTTTTACACATATATGAACTGATTGTTTCTTTGACTTGAACCTTGACTCTCCTTCTTATCGGTTGGTAAATTTTGTCTATTTCGATGTGTCTATTTATTGATGACTCACTGGAATACCAGGCTTCTAGAAATTGTCTAGCATTCTTGGTGTTTCCTCTGTCTAATATTTGAACGTTGTCCCAGTCGAATTGATGTCTGTGGTTGTCTGTATGTAGTGATATGAGGGAGTGAATGTCATGTGTTTTGACGGCTAGTTTATGATCATGGATACGAAGACGAAGGGCACGTCTGCTTAGGCCAGTGTATTGTTTTTCGAAGTTGTTACAATTTATTTTGTAGATGATGTTGGTTTTATCCTTTTTCGCTGTTGAGTCTTCTGGTTGACATAAAACTGAGTGAAGTGTGTTTGCTGTTAATTGATGTTAATTCCTAAAGGTTTGAAGAGTCCTGCAGTTATTTCTGAGATGTGCTTTGAATGTGGTAGGGTGATTTTCTTTATCCTTTTCTTGTGGGGCTTTGATATGATAGGATAGCTTGGGGGTAGATGTCTCTTGATGAAATTCTGTGGATATCCATTCTTTTGAAAGACGTTCACGAGATATGTTTCTTCAATTTTCCTTAAAGTGGGAATGCTGCAATGAGCCCTGGCCCTATTGGACAGTGTTTTTTTATGTTGATTTTTGAAAGACATATTTTAGTAGTTTTACATTTAAAATTCCTTCATCAAAATATATCCACAGGGTATTATTTCATGGTTAACTTGTTCATTTATTGTCTAAATACTCCCGATGTAACATTAGCAGATTTCCTATGACTTATCCTGAATGGAATCCAAATAAGAAATTACGAGTTTGACATGCTAGTGTGAAATGAAGGCGATCGTATGGCCACCTAGAGAGGGCTGCAGAAAACAGAGTAAAATTAAGACGTTCTGCTGGAACCCCATGTTTCACTCAAAAACAAATAGGAATGATAACTGTTCAATAGCTTAGGTGTTGAGTTGAAGGGATTTGATTGGTCACAGGATTTCATCATGTGCTGACATTGGTTACAGAACTATTGGAAAACCTGAGAGTACTGGACAGCTGTTTCGTCCTAGTTTGGGACTCTTCATCAGTGCGCACCTACCAGGGTTCGAACTGAAGAGTCCCAAACTAGGGCGAAACAGCTGTCCAGTACTCTCAAGTTTTCCAGTAGTTCTGTAGCCAATGTCAGCTCGTGAGGTAATCATGTCTCATAGTTATTTTTTAAGTAGGTGCATGAGCCCTTTGAAATCATCATTGACTGAAATCGTGGAGTTTCATGAACTCTTGATCGAATCACATCGGGCTAAATCTCGCCTAGAGTTTAAAGAAAGCAGGCATTTCCACAATTCTTGTCAACTTATCTCTGGACTGATGAGAATGAAAATTTGGCTTCTGTTGGAGTTTATAACGTCATTTGTAATCTTATTAGCTACTATTTCTCATTATTCACTTAAGGCGTTGTATAATACTCATGTTGCCAGTTAGAAACAAATTTTAGAGCTTCATGACTTATTACAAAAAAAAAGCTTCGTTTAATTTATGTTAGGTGGGAACAATATCCTTCAGTTACCTTTACTATGAGTGTCGTTAATACTCAACAGCGGAGAGTAATAAAATTGGAGATCGATTACAAAATAGCGGAGTGCCTTTTTTATTTCTTTGTGTTCCCGATGGGACATAAGGATTTAAGCTAGAGGCTTGAAGTTTCGGTAGCAGTAGTGTTTCATTTTTACGGGATGAGGTTATCAGCTTCCTACTCAACCTCCCTCTTTATCAGTATTATTACTGGCTTAGCGAGGTAAAGGAATGCGTTGACCGGAACCAAAACACATGCGTGGTTGACGAGCATTCTACCACTGTGTCACAGACATAGGCAGAGGACTTCATGAATGGTATATTCATACGCTAATTTACCAGTTAAAGCTAGAGTGTTGTACTATCTTCTAGAACCTCTATGATAAAGTAAATTATATGCTTACACATTTAGCCATTCTTGCGAAAAATGTTCTGTTGCAATTTTAGCTAAGGAAGGAATGCTTTCCCTATCTCAATACTTGTTCACAGTTTCCCCTTTGTGCATTTGTATATACTAGCGCGAATGGGTTATTTATCCAATGTTATTCAATTCTCTTGTCTTAAGTTGTGAGAATATTTATTAAATTTTAGGGATAAACATCGAAATACTGTTAGAATGCTGCAAATTAACACACACCCACACATTTATACTAACTCTGGGTAATAGTATAGCTTAAGTAAGTGCCAAGGCCATTGAAATGCAGCCATTCACGAAAATAGCAGAGAATTTCAAGGACACCTTAATACAGTCACATGATTGGTAGCGTTTTATGCAAAATGCTCGAAATATAGTCAAATAAAAATTTAATATTTAGCTAATCTCAAAAACAGTTTCTCACCTGAGGTAATCGCGTTCAATTTGTGGCTTTACTTAGTAAGTTGACAACCTGTTTATTGGTCTTATTGTGTTTTTTTTTCAAAACTCGATGTATCGTATCACTGACAAATATCTGAATCGAGTCTTTAATATCGGAGAGGTTGCTTGCCTAATATATTTTAGTAAGACAGGGCCAACGACTGAAGCAATTTTATTTCGTTGGGACTGTCTACCGGTTTTTAAGGCGGAAATAATTTTCATAGCACGTCAAACAGACTATTGGAATGCTTTAAGAGATAGTACAACGAAGAATTCAGTGGAAGAGGCAGCAGTTATATGGATGGCATTAAAAAAAGCATTGAGATAGTCTTTGAAAGTGTCATTGAGTAGTGCTCTGTCTCGCAGGTTATACAGATGTATATTTTGAAAATGTAAGTAAAGGAAAGAAAGCTGATGCTAACAGACTTTTTCTGAATATGAAAACTTTGCATCAGAGATTACATAAATATGACGAAACAAATCGGTGCTAACTTCACGCTAGCATTCTGCAGTAACAGTTAGAAGTCGAAACTGACTCTGTATCGATTCAGAGATCTGATTTTGTCAATATAATTACTGTTATCTGAGTTAAAACATATACAAAAGTACGAAATTTTAACTAATAGGAGGAAGTTTGATTGGACCCTAGTAACTAGTGTGATGTGTCTAGTCTTTTTTTGGTGCAGACTGAATTCTATCTGTAAGGTTAGCAATGTGGACACCATTCTACGTAGCTCACCATCACAGTGCATATTAATGTAATGAGATATTAGATGGTTGTAGGCAATCGGCGGGAAGCCTTAGACCTAGGTTTAGTGCTAGTTGGCACTCGTCGTCGCCTTGCTGAGGAATACCTCCGACCATCTAAGGGGAAGCTTATCTGTTCACTGATTATTTTGGAGGGATACATGATATCATGGGTGAGGAGTGATCTTACAACTAAACACAATTAAACTTTTGAGTCTCAAGTTTTTAGGAACACCTTATTCCCTCTCTTTATTGATCTGCCGGTCGCACCTAGAGTTAGCATAAAATGAAAGCTATCCGACTATCGACTATATCAGTGCTCTATCTGTTTAATGTAATGTAATGAATTCGGTGAATGGATGCCTTGGTTTCAATGCAACATCAAATTTGTGCATTCTCTAAATTATTTTTTCTACTATCAAACCATTCGGTCATCAGTTATTTGATTTAATGAGTTTAGTTTTGATTAATTAACATTCACATAGACAGGTCGACTGACTAAATACTGTTATGCAGTAGTGCTGTTATTATTATTCCCTTTGATTCCGAGTGGAGCATAGCGATTCAGCACGATATCTTCGTTTCACTCTGTTCTCTGAGTTCTTTCTAAACTGACTTCGCAATCCCTCATAAGACTTCATTTCCCTCTCACTTCATCTCTTCAGTGTCACCATCGAATTCATGCCTAGCTCATCGTTCCCCGTCCTTCTCCTTAATCTAGTGACTGAGAATTGTTTTCCATTTTTCAATGTAAGTCTCATGTCAATCAGGTGTTTAGGGATTGTAGGGATTGCAGTTGTTGGGGATGTACTGAGAAAGTTGAGTAGATGCTCTCCTCTTATTTCTTCGTATGTACTCGGTACCTCAAGTGCATATGAAGTGGTAAGTGCAGTTAAAGTCGACATGAGGTCCATCCAGTCAGGATTGAGGATGGAGTTCTTACTTATGACACTGGTTGGTGGTCGCGCTGAGACATCACGAAGTGCTAGAAGTTAGAATACATGGACTGGCCACTGAACCGTATCCCAGTGGCTAAATGGTACACAAACTCGCCTTGTAACCCGAAGGTCATGGGTTCGAAACCCAGTGTGTGCGTACTGCTGATGAGTCCCAAAACTAGGATGGAGCAGTTTTAATTCTTCCTTCTAACCTTTAATTAAAACAGATTTATTTATTTTAACTGTTTTAGTGTCTAACTAATAAAGAATTCTACTTTAATTATTATAAAGGTGTAAAATTACTAGTCATAAAGATCGATAAGCTGAATAAAAGAAACGATAAATTTATGAAAAAAAAGCTGTTAACATTATTATTATTATTTGAGACGTGTTGTGGTCACCTAATTGCTTTTTTGATCTGTCACACAATTCTCTGTCTACACTAACAGTAATACCGGTATTTATTAGTTCAGACAAGTTATCTGATTAGAGAATAAATTCGTTAATCTATTGACATATATAAGGGTTTACAGAATTCAAGTTTAAGATCACTTTGGCTATTGTTTGTCATAGTTCATAATTATTTTTGCAACACAAATACAAACATTGATCTGAAAACTAGTAATTGTTGAAAGATTCTAATTATAATTTTTCTTTACATCTATTTTAAACTACTAAAGATACTTGAGCTAGAGTGTAAGGAGTGCTTTAAACGATAAGTAAGCTTTGCATAATAGTGAACATAGTGGGTTTGAATTATTTTGTTTGCCGCTTTAACGTATTCACTTCAGTGGTTAATTTGTAGAAATGCTCTCCAGCCACATGGAAGATCTAGGTTCAACTCGGAGCTGACGCATTCGAAAACGACACCGACCCGATAGCCAGACCCTTGAACAGGAAAGGTTGGATGAAGAAAGAAAGAACACACTTGAGAGATAATACAAGCTCGTTTTATTTCCTTGATACCTTTCACCTGTGTGCATCCTACAACAAAAAATCATTTTAAGTTACGAAATTTCCCAACATACTTACCCATAGTGACCACGAATTGTAGACAGAAAGTATAGGTAACATATTTCAAAAAATGATGTAAGTAGACGGGTTATTCAGTGGTAAAAGACTAACTACTGATATAATTAGACAAGTAGAAACAAGAATGGACTAGAGACAAAATACAAGATCGAATAACGCAGTTTATTTGTACAAATTGTCATGGAGAGTTCAACTGGGCGGGAGTGAATAGTAAAGTAAAACTGTAAGATAGACAAAATAATTTCACAGACATAGAAACTTAGCACTGTTTACAACTGAATAAATTCAAGTCGAAATCTAAATTAAGTGAAATATTACACAACAGTACAAACCACAAAAGAGCACGAAGAAGACAATCACAGTCACTAGGATAGTGACAGATTAGTCACTCTATCTTTCTCTTTGCAGAGGTTTGGTCTAAGTCTTTTAATGGCAATGGCTTCTGTGAACCGAAGTAACCATGTTTTTTCCTTTCAGTGTTAATTATTTTAAAAGCCTGACCCATTTCCACTGTAAGTCTGGTGTCAATAAGGCGTATAGAAATTGTACTTTAGAACGCTTTGCGGCCCATCAAACGGAGACTTTCAGGGATATGCTTCGAGAATCTAGAAGACGCTCTCCACACATTCCTTCCTATGCACTTGCTGGCACGAAGCTGTGATAATTCAAGTGAAGGTCAAGCATAAGACTAGCACCTATCCTGTAATCAAAACAGTTTCACAGTTACTGAAACTTACAACCATGAGTACTAAACTTCCACTTAGAACGGAAAACGGATATTTGAAAATGCTTGCTTAAAAAACTACACAAGTTATATTTTTCGCAACCGTATTAGTTTATTTTCCACAAATATGAGATAGGTATGTGCCCAGGTTTTTAAACTATAGTTAATTTAGAACGGTGTCAGAAGGCTATTTCACTGAACCATATATGCTTGAAAGCATTTCCAAAGAAGCAGCCTACACTAGGGATCTTTATGAATTATTTAGTGTGCCATTACTGAAACACTACGAAAACTAAACATTATGGCTTATGTCTGCGGTAAAATAACTAGTCTCTTTTGCAGCTGAAGTAAGTCTGAATCATTGAGATGAATTGTGTCTTCTTAAAGTTGGGGATATGCACTGGTTGATGAGTGCTGAAAAGTTTAAAATCTAATTTCACGGTCACTTTCAGGATATCACATTACACAACTGATTCAGCTAAGGGAGGGTTACATTGTGCTGAGCTCTAATATATATATATATATATATATATATATATACTCACTAATTTGCTTTCCAAATGGAACATAGGGCCTCAAGCCTCAGATTTGAAATACCAGTCCCCGAGGTGCTTTTATATGAGGTGCGATTGCTATGCTCACGCTAAATCTTCCCTCCTTAATGGGCTTACCACCCATGGGGCGAGCTTCATGAGTGAGTAAAATAATCTCACCTTATAGTTCTGAAGACGTTTTTCTTTCTTTATTCACCCTCCTCCCTTATAAGAACAAAGATGTATGACCTTTACTTTTTGTTAGTTAATTGATAATTTGGTTTACAGTTTATTTAGGGCCTTATGTGTTACTTGTTGTAATTAAACAACTCAAACATGAAGGTTGGAGGGGGGGGGACAGCATGTCTCCTAATTTGTCAACATTTATCATGGTGAGATTTTCTTTGAACTTTCCATATTCTTTGACATAAACAAACCAACAGAAACAAGTTTCACAACTAAAGTAAAACGAATTAAAAAACACTGCTGTAATGTGAAGACAGACTGATTCATAGAAGCGACAACGTGTTATTATGACGCAGGCTTGAATTTTAAATCTAGATTTATGATTGCGAAAACCTTGACAATATTTTAAGTGGCACTTTGTGGATTTCATGACACCGCTATATACAGAAAAATTGGTGACGAAACTCTTATATGGTATTTTCCATTAAAGTATATTTTTGAAGTCGACTGTTGCTGTCTGTAAGTCTATGTTGGTTAAGGTGTATTTGTTATTTATTTCTACTACAAATGGATTTCGTCACCGTCCACTTGTTGGTTAGAAAACTCAATCAACCGAATTCCGGAAAAGCATACCAAGTAACATTTATTTCCTAGAGTTCGCTTTTTAATGGCATGTACTACCAACGACGTATATGATACAACGGAGCATATTTCTGACGTATCTTGGTTTTCACTGATTTTTCAACTAGTCTCGGTGTTCGATAGCTTCTCTTTTGAAATTTGAAACTTAATGCACATGTTTTGTTCTATTTCTTTGGTGACCAGTGGAACATAAAACTTCAAGTTTAAAGCCTTGGAACTTAAGTAGTAGCTAGCTATTACCGGAGAGAACTACTAGCTTTACGCGCAATCTTTCTTTAAATAGCTAACCGCCGGCTAGGCGAGGTTTAGATGTGCGTCGATTGAGGATGGAACGAGGGCCAAGTAAATGGTTATTAAGCAATCTGTCGCTGAACCGCCAGTGTACTATTATATGGCATATATTGTATTCTAACTAAAACGTTCATCTTGAATGAAACTGCAACTTCAAATCAGTGGTGTTGATTCCTTTGGCACGGATTCGGTTCGTAGAATCGTTCAACTCAAATTTTATTAACTATATAATTAAGTGATATTTTAATCACATAAATGTTAGAACTAGTCAATTATTTCACGAAGAAAGTGATTCAAAGCTTTAATGAATGCAGTATCTAATAAATTTATTCATGCATATAAGTATTCTTCCGCAGTGTCCTTATAATGCTGAAGTGCTCCGTAACATTGTAGTGTGAATATGATCGGGAAGATTCGAAGACCTTACATATGCGTACATGTGTGTCGGTGGTAGAGTGGTTATCACTCTCGCCTATCATGTACATGGTCCGGAGTTCGATACCAAGGAGATGCACAGCTGATATCTATGGTTGGCCTGCAAAATTTGGGCTACGGATATCACATGCTGAAAATTCAATACTTGTACCAAAAATACAGTGTGAAATCAAGCTGTTATAAAAAAACAAATAAAAAGATAAAGTGATGAATAGTATGTATTTTGATGGGGCATCATTTTAAATAAACCATCCATTTTGCTTTTATCACCTCCATAACTAGCTTAATTGAACCTGCTACATTCTGTGCACAATGTCTCGGTGTTTAAGTCCTGAAGAACTAATGGAATTATTCAAATCTCTTGATACAAATGGAGATGGAGTTGTTAGCAGACAAGAGTTGACGACGCGACTCGCTAACGCTGGAGTATCTGCGAGAAGAGTACAGGTAGGTTGTTAAGATGTAACATGTGTGAAAAAAACAATAATTTAGCTTTGCCTGTGATGTTTCACTAGTTGTACTATGTAGGAGTCAGCTTAGTCTGGTGTAAATGTGCCAAAACTGGGGGGGGGGGGATACAACCACTTTATCCCATGCAACATGACGATTAAGCACTAGTGTACTTGTAAAATGCCTACAGCTTTCGGTTAACAGGCTCAACTAGTGAAAAATGCGTTAAGTTTACTGTTCTATCAAACTCTAACTATTTTAGCCCAAATCTGAGGAATCGCAGTTTCTTTCCATATTTATTTATGTCGGTAGTTAAACTTCTAGCTTCTGTCAAATGTGCAACATATAACTCAGTGGGTAATCAATGTCACTACAGATTGTTTGTCTTTACACCCAGATTGTCCGACCTCACCGGTGACAACGTTTCGCTTCAGGCAAACTCATCCTATAGTCAGTCACTAATGAGCCCTAGTAACATTGAATCTTCTGAATAGCTTTGTAATTCTATCCCAAATGGAAAGTCATTGTTCGAAATCACATTTTCTTTATTCATTGACAATTCGCATCATGCAGCTTTGTTGGTTTAATTTCTATTCATTTTATTTTAAAATACAGGATCTTATGAAACACCTGGATATAAATGGTGATGGATTTATTACTGTTGAAGAATATAAATCAGCTTTGGGATTGACTAAGGAACCAGCAGCTGAGTAAGTCACTTTCATTCATTCATGCTTCGTATTACTTTTCAAGCAAGTACTTGTAAATTCTATGACTTTGAAAGTTTATCTGTCTTCCTTTAAGACTTACTTATCTGTGCATTATACTCCTTATAAATCCGCTCTTTGTCTTTCAAATAGGTTCACAGCTCAGCAATCCACTTATTATAGGATGCATTTTAGACTAATTTTTAACTGAAACGGAGGCTGCCTTTAAATTCTACTTCTAATTCTATAGCTTTGTTAAACCATTTCCATTTTTTTCAAAGATATATCGTTAAAATTGTAAATTTTTGATAAAAGTCAAGAGGCTGACTGAATGACTGATTTGCTAGATAGAAATTTGCAGAGGATTTGACTGGCAGCTCAAGTGGTCACACTCCATTTAGCCCACAGGAGTAGGGAAAGCAGAGACAAAAAATGATTCAGTTGCATTGAGATGACTGGAAATTTGGGAGAGAGAAAATAGTAACATTGAAAAACGTGACGGCTTAATGGGTGTAGGCGATAACAAAGAGTGAACGTATCTGTTCCACTGGGAATGACTTTGAGCCACATCTCCGATAGTCTCAGGCTGTTGGTTCTTAGCATCCCCAAGGCCTAGTGGATCACACAGCTTACTATTCCCAATGTGGCTCATGGAGTGATCTGAGGTTTTGGCATGATCATACTTAACCTAGAAAATTACTCACAATATTATATCACTTAAGACGTCAGGTACTACGCAGACATCTATAGTCAAAGACAGCTATCCTTTTTATATCTTCTATTCCCAATTTCCATGTCCCACCGATGCTGAGTTTCAGGCATCAATACGACTTGTGTGGACTGATCCATTTTCATCATTCTTCTGATACTGACGGTAATATGACGAAAAATAAAATGAATATTGTATGGAGGATTTAATCATGAGCTGACATCAGTTAGAGAACCACTGGAAAACCTGGGAGTACTGGACAGCTGTTTCGTCCTAGTTTGGGACTCTTCAGCAGTACGCACCCACCGGGATTCGAACCCAGGACCTTCTGGTTACAAGGCGAGCTCGTAGACCATTGAGCCACTGGGACCCGATCCAATGGTCCTTGAATTCTAACTTCTGCTAGTTCACGACATAGCACGACCAATTCGTGATGTCTTCTTCGATGAGTTACTGCCTCATCTTCAACCTGTGGCTCAATGGTCTACGAGCTCGCCTTGTAACCAGAAGGTCCTGGGTTCGAATCCCGGTGGGTGCGTACTGCTGAAGAGTCCCAAACTAGGACGAAACAGCTGTCCAGTACTCCCAGGTTTTCCAGTGGTTCTCTAACTGATGTCAGCTCATGATTAAATCCTCCATGCAATCAAACAAAATCCCTACAAAACCAATACCTGAAAATGAATATTACCTATCTTGGCGTCAGTCTCTCTTCAAATAGTTTTTGGGTTTCTATTGTTGATTTCCACGAAAATCTTTCAGGTGACTTACTACGTAAGGAAGTTGAGACTATTTGGTGTAAGTCATACACTCCTCCTGCAGTTTGTCAATCCATTTATTCTACATGGTCTTCTTTATCATGCCCTGTTCTTCTCCCCTAGGCTTCTCAGAAAGGATTGTGTTGTATTATACAGGACTTTAACGGGTGTTAGCACTGTTATTGATGTATACCTCTGATTCAACTGACTAACATTGTTATCAATAGGCATTGTGATTTTTGCCAGCAAATTGATCAAAGTCAACTTTTCTGATATTGAAAATCCTATTTACTTCCATCCGTCTCCTTGTTTCTCTTCAAAGGTGAAACTAGAAGAAATTTCATAAGAATTAATATTCCTACGGCTAAGTATAAAATTTCGAATGTACCATACTTATCGTGAATGTTGCGAGAAGTGAAAAATGTCAGGAAAGACCTACTTCATAATCTGTAAATAAACACCAACTTATTGCTAACATTATTATTGCATGCATTATTTTTCTGTTTACTTTCAGTTTTCAAATCTTTAAATATTCCCATTTTTAATATTATAACTAGACAAATAAGCGAACAATATTGTTTTCAATTAGATCTTCTTCAGGCTTTACTCTAATTTGCATAGATTTATATGTAAAATTCATATGCCAACAGATACTAGAAAAACAGTTTGTCATCGGAATTCCAGTTATTAGTCTCAAACAGTTGCTTTGAAGATGTACTATGAATGTACACTTCATATTCAAAAACTTTTATTTCAGACAAATCAACGGCATTGTCATAGGTTCTCCATTAGAGCCAATTTTAGCAGACTTATTTCTTGATAAGGTTGAAAATGGTCCACTGAAACAAGTAATAGATAAAACTGATTCTTATTTTCGCTATGTTGATAATACGTTTATTGTTCTTGATGTGAAAGCTGACAAGAATGAAATGTTAATAAAATTTATTGATGCACATCGATCGCTCATCTTTACTTGTGAAGAAGAAGACGATGGTAGACTACATTTCCTGAACGTCCGATTGAGCAGAAGATAGGATGGTACACTCAAGAGAGATGTCTATAGAAAACCTACATCTGTAGGACAATACACAGATTTCCCCAGTTTTGTACCAATCTGATACAAAATCAATTTGTTCAGATGCCTTACGAATAGAGCAAGACGTATCTGTACAGATGAATCCCTTCAAAATGAGTTAGGATACATCCAAAATATGCTGGTCCAAGTGGGTTATCCTAGTAGATTTGTAAGGAGACACATGAACACCAAGTACAATAAAGAGAAACTGACAACAGTTGAAAAGAAACAACTGTTCATGAAATTACAATTTAATGGGGAGGTGGCTAGCGAAGTCTTACATCAGAGATTATCGAGAGCGATAAAACGGACTTATACTGCCGCCACCCTTCGTTTGTCATTTTCCATCTGCCGACCAATTATGATTGCTCAAGTGAAAGGCAAGCTACCTAGCTGTACCACATCTATGTGTATCCATAAATTTAGTTGCTACAGTGGAGAGAGCTATATAGGGTGAACAACTAGACAGCTTAACAAACGCATTATTGAGCATCTTCCTTCATGGTTTGGAAAAATTCTAATAAAGTCTATAAGAAGTTCTGTTTTGGCTCATTTGATTGATATCGGTTACCAAGTGGACAAAAATAGTGCCTTCAAAGTTATCTATCTCATTTCTATCGAGCCTTTAGAAAGTAATTCGAACCCGCTTTTTACACATGGCTGAAGCTGTGGGAATTAATTTGGGAGAACGATCCTAGTGTTTGCATACAAAAGCAGTTTTTAATAATAATAATAATAATCACTTTATTCCACAACAATAACAATTTACAGCATGGAATTTTCAGCGTTTCTTTTACATATTGCAATGGTTTAGCTCTGTTTATAATTATATAAATGTATACTTGAGAAATGTATAAAATGTTAAAATATTGATAGTTAATAGGAAAAAAAAATAAAAAATAAAAAAAACCCAACAAAATCACACCACTTCTAGGTCATAGTGAATAATAAATAAATAATATAACAAATAACACATGCATAATAATATGCATCATTACATTTTATAGTTTAGTTATTGATTCAACCTACCTTTGTTCTACCTTTGTCCCTCCCATGACCCAGGTGAGTTCTATTTAAAACCCCCCACCCTTTCTTATTTTCCATCTCCTTCGTATTTTCATGATACTTACTTAAAGTCTGATTTTATGCCCACTTCACCTTTAGTATCACGTAACTTTTAAGAATTGACCTAATTTTTTTTATTGAATTGTCTACATATACACATATTACTTACTACCTTCGTTATTCTTATCACCACCTGCATAAACCTTATTATCAATATTTTGTTATCATTTTAATCATCGTTATTAACTAGGTTCAAAACATTTACCGCATTATTATTATTTGATCCACAAAATTACCGTCATTGGTTAAAAATTTTTATACATAAATCTATGTAAATTAGAGTAAAGCTTGAAGAAGGTCTAATTGAAAACAGTAATATTGTTCGCTTATATGTCTTGTTCTTATACTTGTAGTTTCACTTATTTCACCATCTTTAAAGTATTTAGGTATTTGTTAAAAGAGATCGGTTGTTGTAATATGTACAATGCTGAAAATCCCATTCTGTATAGCAAAATATTGTTTGGAGTAAAGTGAAGAGCATTTTTTTTGTTCCTTTAAGAGCCTAATGGAGCATAAGATTTCGGTAGCAGTGATGTTTTATTTTTAAGGGATGGAGTTGCTAACCGTCTCTCTTTACCTGTCTTATTATTAGCTTAGCAAGATAAAGGAGTGCACCGGCTAGGCTCGCATGACTGGCGGGCATTCTACCGCCATACCACCGACGTACAAGTGAAGACCATTTATTCTGTCATATATTTTTATGAGGTTTTTAAATTTCCTCATGTTCCAATTTATTTTAGTGGGTTTTCCATTGATATACCTTCTTTTATATAGGATCGGACCAGTTGAAAGGACATTATACAAAAACATAGATATTTATTTTTCGTAATAGGATTACTACATTATACACAAGTTATACTATATTTAACTGAATATTTCGCAATAAATATATGTATTCAAGTGTTGGTTTGTAGAGATTTGATTGGTTTCAGGATTTCATCATGAGCTGACAGTAGTTAGAGAACCATTGGAAAACCTGGGAGTATCGGAAGGTCCTGGGTTCGAATCCCGGTGGGTGCGTACTGATGAAGAGTCCCAAACTAGGACGAAACAGCTGTCCAGTACTCCCAGGTTTTCCAATGGTTCTCTAACTACTGTCAGCTCATGATGAAATATATGTATGTTGGTGGTTTAGTGGTATACTGATCCGGGGTTTGATTCCCGGTCAACTCGCTCCTTAATAAAGAACGCCTAGCTAGTAGTAAAACTTGTGGAGAAGGAAAGTTGGGTGTAAAGCTAGCAATCGCATCACGTGACAAGAAATACCCCTGCTACTGAGACTTCATAGCTCAAGCTTGATGTCCCATGTTCGAGTCCAAACACAAAGCAATAAAATTAA